TCACTCCGACGTCATCATGCCGACATATTCATGCTCTACAAGCTGGTTAACGGGTTTGTCGATTGCCCCAACATCCTGAGTGGTATCGACATTACCACGCCCAGAGGCACCCGCTCCAGGACTATATTCAGCAGACGCTTTCTCCCAGCCTACTACTCTTACAACAGCGGAATTAGCCGTCTACTCAAGGCTGGTAGCACGGCGGCTGCTCAACTGGATTTCTTCGGTGAGAAGCCCCTCCGGTTCAAAAAGAAGGTCTCCCTGATCACTTGAGCAACCACACTCCAGCACATCTGCACATTTGTCTTCTCATCGTTAAAACTTGCTGTTCATATTCTTTGTTGATACTCTTTTTAGTTTATTCTTCTGTTATTAATATTTGTTATTACTTTGTTATTACTATTGTTATCACTATTTGTTATTACTATTGTTATCACTATTTGTTATTACTTGCTATTACTATTTATTATCACTTTGTTATTACCATTGTTATTACTTTTCTAGTCAGTAATATTGCAAATGCCATCTAAATTGTATACACATATTTTGTAAAAAGGTGCAATCCGTTGGGAAATAAATAAATAAATATTAAAAGGACGTTGTGTGCGTCCGACACATTGTTTCTGAGCTATTCAGAATAAACTGAAAAAAGTGCTAACATTTAATTTATTATTTTCCATAATGTAAGCTCACCTCATAAGACGGTGCAAAGAAGGTTTTGTCTCTTAAAGTTTAACAGCAACAATAAATATGTTATCACTCTGTTTGCGGGAAACTAATACATCATCGATGTCATTTCTGAAGTAACTCTCTTCGCCAATGTCCCTACTAGTCAATGATGAGAAGTTTGTCTCCTTCAGTTCTTCTTATGAGTTAATTTTAGTATTTCCAAGTAAGACTTAACTGAGTCAATGACATATTTGACATTTTTGCAACGGGCGCGAACAATAAAGTTACCCGCAAATTTTATGTATTCAAACACAGAAATACTGCATATTTGGTTATTTCATATAAAAAACTTTTCAGGCATATTATTTTACAATGGGGAAGTGAATACCGTATGGTAGGGAACTATGAGATTATTAATTAACTTCAGGTTGTGGTAATTTGCATTAGCTCTAAATGGTGTTTCAAGGAACAGATTCTATTTATTAATAACGTGAAATTGTTTATATGATTAGTATCATTTATATGGTATTGGATTGGCCAAAATTTGGGTAGTTTCACTTTAGTATAAACTCACCGCCCACTTATTACTATCCAAAATTTTTTTTTTATTGCAAATCAAATCAAACCGTGTAAACTGTCTGCTTGTGCAAAGAAAAAGGTAACGTTGAACATGCAATAAATATTTATGAAAAGAGACAAACATCTTGAAAAGAAAAACTTGCAGTTTTGACGTAAATAAACAAATTGTCGCGTTAAAATATAGTAAAAGGTGATAAACTGAGATGAATGTGAAACCGATTTTTTCTATCCTATATGATTGATTAATTATGGCAATTGAACAAGTTTTAATTAATAAACGTATTAAAATCTGTACCTTAATTTTAAAAAGGCCTTTATTTTGATTGGTGTTTCTTAGGTGACGAATATATTTCACATTTGTTTCTCTTGAAACTAAGTCATACACACATTTTATTTTACATTTATCAAAGTAGAAATAATTCAAAACCACAATAACCTAACAATTCACATTGAACAGCGTAAAGTGTTGTCAGATTATACAGGGTGTTGAAAATGTCTGGAACCAGCATTATATCTGGTGAGTGGTTAAAGAAATACAACTGATATTTTGTGTACGGATATACTATGGTTTTACCTATCTTTTGGTGCCTTATGACATTTTTTACCACTTATAGGGAACGTCCTGTGGAGGATGCAGTAAAAAGTTTTAATGGAAGCCTATGGTAAATGATACATCGTCTTAAAGGTCATTTTTTTCTGAGTACGGAGCCACAAGTTTCATCTCAAAAGGACCACCCTAGCGAAAATGGTGACTGTTTGAAGTTTTTGAAAATAATTGAATTTTAAATTTCAAACAGTCGCCATTTTTGCTAGGGTGGTCCTTTTGAGATGAAACTTGTGGCTCCTTACTCAGAAAAAAATGGCCTTTAAAATGATGTATTATTTACCATTGGCTTCCATTAAAACTTTTTACTGCATCCTCCACAGGACGTTCCCTATAAGTGGGTTTTTAAATTTCAAACAGTCGCCATTTTTGCTATGGTGGTCCTTTTGAGATGAAACTTGTGGCTCCTTACTCAGAAAAAAATGGCCTTTAAAATGATGTATCATTTACCATAGGCTTCCATTAAAACTTTTTACTGCATCCTCTACGGGACGTTCCCTATAAGTGGTAAAAAATTTCATAAGGCACCAAAAGATAGGTAAAACCATAGTATATCCGTATACAAAATATCAGTTGTTTTTCTTTAACCACTCACCAGATATAATGTTGGTTCCAGACATTTTCAACACCCTGTATAACTTTATAGCATTGGTTTGATATTTAATCGTCCTTTCAATATATCAATGACTCAGTGAAAACAGAGTAGAATAATCTTCCTTGATTACATTGTTAGTTCGGTAATGGCCAAATGATTTGCCTTAATTAGTATCAATCAATAGGAGCTGCCAAATCCAATATTTGTACCCTCGCAACAGTTTAGAGCAATGCTTTATCCCTTGTTAAAAGACTTTGATCTAAAATTTGACATTGCATTGATAAAAAATGAAGTAGGATATGAGGATGTGAACTCCTTATACAATTCAAGGAAAAATTCATTTTGTATAATCTGATTCGTTGACTAATGAATTAGACATTTTGTTTGGTTGTAAGCACCTACGTCGTTTTTCTCTAAAGCTTAGAATTATTAAAAAAATTAGGCATGTAACTAATCCTATAAATTATACGTTTTCCATCTAATAAATGGCATTGACCAATTTAATAGAGGAAAGTAACTCTGTCGGATACGTGACTATAATATGACAATGACGGTGTATATATTGTACAGCTTTCATTGTCGGCAAGCTAATCGTATACAAACATCGAATTGGTACATTTTACCAAAGTAAAGCAAGAACAGTTCAAAATTAGAACGATAGATATTACAGCTGTAAGGAATTATATTTCCCTTCCCAGAGAAATATCTAAGGACATATAAGGTCCAACCTTATTTGAGCTATGTGGAATACCTTATTTTCCAGGGAATCCAGGGAGGCAGAACGGATGGTCTACGTGCCCTATGATTTTATGCTTAGGCCACAAAAATTAGGCCATTGATATTTTGTCAAACACCATTGAAATTTAAAATTACTTTTATCTTCCTACCCAAGAAGTCATAAACGAAAGACTTCTGAAAAGAAATCTTCTCACTAATAATATTTTTGTTGGTTATTATTTAAAGCGTCCGCTTGGATTGTGGACGCTCACAGTGACGCAGCCTGTATCGGTGACGTTGCCAGTGATGGTGACAATACCTGTGAAGCTGACAATGATTGTGACAGTGACAATACCTGTGACGATGTCAATGTATTTGATGGTGGCAGTCGTGGTAACGATGCGTGTGACTGTGATGGTGACGATTACGGTGACATTGCCTGTGATGGTGAACCAACCTCACCCCAGTACTATCCCATGAATTCTGTGTTATCTGCGTTGTTAGTTATGTAGCTTGTTTGATGTGTTGCCTGTGACGGTGACGATGAATGTGACTATGAAGATGCATGTAACTGTGATGATAACTGCAATGTTGACAATCACAGTGACGATGCTTGTGTTGGTGACGTTTTCTGCGATGGTAACGTTTCCTGTGATGGTGACGTATACTGTGACGCTGACGTTAAATGTGACTATGACGTTGTCTGTGACGTTGGACGTTGGGACTGTGGAAAAACTGGGACTGAGGCCTAGGCCCATGTCTTAGCATAAAGAAAATAAATCAATTAAGCCAAATGGTGGAAAACGTTTAAAAACAAATCTGAATCATGTTCTGAAACACGAGAATCCCCAGAAATATGTGGAACAAAAGAGCATGGTTCCATTAAGATAAAATTTCCTAAGAAGATGTGTCAAATTTTGTGAAAAAAACCTTCTCTAATCTTGACCTCCCTAATACAAAACCCCACATTATCAGTCCTGCTAGTCCTAATAAGCTTAACAACCTTTCTGTTAACACTGTAGAAGAGATAGTCTCTGGTTTGCCTGCGGTGACATGTGGCTCATTGAGCTTATTTATGGCTACGGAGCATAGGCCCACTCTTGATGGATGGAGGGAGGTGAGTCCCGCTGAAGTTATTAAAATAGTTAGAAACTTTTAGTTGTCAAACAAGCCTGCACATAAAATATATGGTGTATCCTGTAGGATTGTGAAGTCGGTCATGGAGGTTATTTCTGTGCCTTTTTGCTTTGTAACGATGCCTGTGATGGTAACGCTGCATGTGAATATGAAGATGTCTGTGGCGGTGACTGTCACAGTGACGATGCTTGTGTGGGCTGTTGCATGTGACTAAAAAAATGTCTGTGGTGGTGACAGTCACAGTGAAGATGCTTGTGACCGTGGCCGTTGCATGAAACGGTGCCGTTGCCTGTGACTAAAGAGATGTCTGTTGTGGTGACAGTCACAGTGAAGATGTTTGTGACGGTGGCCGTTACATGTGACGGTGGCCGTTGAATGTGATGGTGACGTTGCATGTGATTAAGAAGATGCCTTTGATGGTGACAGTCACAGTGGCGATGCTTGTGACGTGACGAAACCTGTGATGGTGACGTTGCCTGTAATGATGAGGTTGCCTGTGACGGTGACAGTAACAGTTACGATTCTTGTGACGGTGGCCGTTGCATGTGACGGTGACGTCGCCTGTGACTATGAAGATGTCTGTGATTGTGACATTAACAGTTGATGGTGCTTGTGACGGTGACGTTTCCTGTGACAGTGACAATGCCTGTGGCGGTGACGGTCACGGTGACGGTGGTAGGGAGTGTTGGTGGAGGGAGGCGGTGGGTAAGTCAGTGGGTGGCGGTACTAGTGGCTGGTGGCAGGCGACACTCCCTTACCACCGATAAACAGTAACCTGCCAGCGCCGTTCATAGCGTGACGCCAACGCGCCGCTCTTCACGGGTATGTCGATGGGTCGCTCGAATGTTTAGTTCCCGTCAGTGTCCGGACCTAGGAGTCTTCAATACAGGCTGCCATATCTGCACGGAAATGCTCTTCGCAACTGGACATTTTTTACCTATCTCGGACCGAGTTTAAGAGTTTTACTTTTTATACTGTTATCGTTAATGTATATAGCTAGTTATCCGGCTTAGTAAGAATTGTTGTAGTTAAAAACATTTTAGATAGTTTTCGAGTTACTGTCGGACTGTCCATGTGAGTTCTGAAGACATTCGACTTATGGGTGAACAGTCGATATAAGTGTCATAGTAAACCGTGTCTTATAGTGGCTTAACCTCGAAGTGTAGTGGTAGATTTTGGCCTAAAATTACGATTTAGCCTTACGATATGAATGTGATACGTAGCTAGTAGGTCTACGTTGTTATCTGGCGTTGTAACGTATGTGTAGTGCCGACCATATCAATATCAGAACCGCGGCTAGTGTCTTGTCTCTTGTTGTAGTTCGTATCTTGTTACTATACTATTGTTATCAGGTGTGAATTTTTCTTCCATGTTACATCGTAATGTTGTGTTTGTAGCATTGTTGTTCGTATTTTAAAGGCATTTTTCGTATTTTGATACGTGATTGAACGTATTGTTAACTTTATATCGACAATATACGATTTTTCATAAAGTTGACATTTTTGCGCTGTTTTGTAATGCTGTTTCGTAACGAAGCCTGTTAAAATTAATGGTTCATAGAGGTTATAATTCCGCACAAACTGTTTTCTATAGGAGGGTTGTTTTGCGATCGAATTCTTAAATACTGGATATTTGAAAGAAACTCACCATGTTCGACGGACTCAAGAACAATCCAATTTCCCGTCTGGCACTTTCCAAGTTTCTTTCACAAAGCATGTGAGTATCAAAACAAACACATACCAAACGTAGTCATACTCCATTTCATAGATCAGATTCTAAGACTCTTTCCAAACTGTGTTTATTACAACGCCTATAATAAAGAAAATATATAACATGCTGTAGTAATAATAGGTAACCAAATCGTTAAGTTGTGAATAGCATGCGTGTTGTTAACTATTTGGAATCACATTCTATCACTGGTACGCGTTCAAAAATAAATTAAAATAACTAGGCAGATGAATGAAGATGAAGAATATCACCTCGCAGTAATAGAGAAAGTAATATTTTAAAAAATATTTTATGTATTGAGTATATATAATATAACCTCACCTCCTTTTATCTGTGAGCCGATTTCAATACAACTCGATGTTATTTACTACATACTTTATATAGGTTAAACAACGTTGGTGGAATACTATCCCCTACATCTGGAATTGGCTTTAAAATTAAACGTCAGTGAGAAGCAGACCAGAATATTCCACGCTTAAACAGATGAGACTAATCAAGAAAATGTGAAAATATTACTTTTTATATTTACAGAACGATTCCTGTGCCAATAGTAAGACTGCAGTAAAATTGGATGCTAAGGGCAGAATATATTGATAACTGGTTACAAAATAAACAAATAAAAAAATATTTTCTTGTTAAATAACTATTACAAGTTGAAATAACGTTGTGTAGCTGTAAAGAGTAAACCATGTACCACAAACGTTTTCCTTTTTTTAATTATCTTCAATTTATTTTGTGAATTACATACCGTAGTAACTGATGAAATATACAAAAGGTTATTACTCTAGTATAACCATAAGCAGGGTGGAAAGAAGTCCCGGGGAAGAAAAATATTTTAAATAATAATAAAGATGGAGCTACAAAACTTGGTACAAGGTTCACAGGCATTAAAATAATTTTGATACGTTTTACGTCATAGTGATACGCTACCTCTTTCAGGGGGGTGGCCTGCTAAAAAGCATAAGAAAATCTTAAATGTAAACATAGGTTTATATGCACATCAAATTAAAGGTCTTTGTTAGTAAAAAAAAAAAACAATGCCGCAAACCCTAATTCAAACGGGCAATCGAGTCAAAAATGACAGCTGTTCAAAAATATTTTAAATTGGCAAGCCTTATTATACACAGCTTCCTCAGGGGGCCTTTAGAAGTCGGATGAAAATAGTAAAAGTACGCATAGGTCGAAATTCACGTTAAATTAAAGGTCTTTAATGGTATAACTAAACGCCACGAATTTGAGCTGGAAAGAACGACAGGGTAAAAAATGGCAGCCGTTCAAATATTCAAAATGGCAAATTCCAGAAATCTTTGAACAGCTGCCATTTTGGGCTTGGTTATTTGTTTGAGTTGAAGTTTGCAGCATTGTACTTTAAAATTAAAGACATTTAATTTGATGTGCGAATCAACCTATGCTTAAATTTAATATGTTCTGATGACTCATAGCGGGCCACCCCCTGATGAGGTAGCGTATCACTGAATAATGCGTTAATATTATTTGTATGCCAAGTAACCTTGTTCCAAGTTTTGTAGCTCTATCTTAATTATTATTGTAAATATATAACCGTCATGGTACTTTTTTCATCCTGTATAATCAAATCGTACTTTATTATTTACTATATTTTGATTTCTTTGCCGTATTTTACTATTTGAAATAATTTCCTTAAAAGTTCTTCATAATTCTCACAATTGACTATGATAGAACATCCGGTTGTTAAAAGGGGTCACAATCCAGAAAACTGTAATGTGCCAAGTAAGTTCTTCTTTCAGAATTTCTTTTTCGGTCAACTTAGACTTCTTTGTAAGAGGTTTCCCATTCTTTTCAAAAGAAAGTTAAGCGAACGCTCTGTCCTCGGTTGGATATCACCTCCTACTTATAAAATATTACTGTCAGTTTGGCACATATTTTTTTGATCAAAGATGTGTTTTTATAACAATTAGTCTCTAACTATTTTCAGATATTACTTTAAAATATTTATTATATAACTAAAAAACTGTATAGAATCATGTGCATTAATTAAATATTATTCATTCATTTTATATATATTTTGCCAAAAAATATATATAACAAAACCATAACTTTAATCTAGTGAATTTGTTTTGTTCGTAAAATTTGGCGACGTTTACTTCAATACAAAGGTTTTGACAATTACATTTCTTTAGGGATTTTGTTTACATGACTATAATGGTTTGAAATTGTACCGGTACAACAACATTCATAATTACAAAAGAGTCATACACTTATTTGCTCGGTAAAGGTTACGTTGAATACAATACAAATTGTATAATAGACTCGCGCTAAAAATATATACTACTACTAAATAAAATCAATGATAGTAGCCTACTAATACATAGCGTCACTATCAATGCACCGTAGTAATATGTTAAAATTTCGTCCTGTCCAAAATAATTTCCCATTCCTTTGTTAAAGATTTCACTGACGCAAATAAAGAACTATATCAGCCTGAAATAAATTCTTTGACTGAAACCTGCCATGTACTCGTGTCTTTTAAAATTATAAAACAACATAAAAGCTTCCTTTGAGTATACAAATCGACCTTTCATAAAGCAATTGAAAACCCAAGATAAAGGTACCTGTTTCGTGTTATACTCAAAATTTATTTCTTCACAAAGTGGAACTGTTATTAAACTCTAGAGTTGAACTCTTGCTATAATTTTACTCTTACGACGTTGGAGTCATTCTGAATGAACTGCTAAATTATGGTTGTAATATTGTTTATATGAGTATACATAATTGAATATTATTGTTAATATTACAGTTTATAATATGTAGTTAGTTTTATAAATACATTACTTACATTGAGGGAACACTCAATATCTTAACACAAAATAATAGTTTTAGTTGTGATTCTAGTCTAATAGATAACGTTATGAATTTTGGTCCAAGATGAATGGGCTCAATTCTCAGCGTGTCCTCAAAATTGTAATGGATTCCGACTATTTACCCGTAATATTAAGTATTCGTTCTAGCAAAATAAGCGTACATGTGACGATGAAACTGAAAAAATAGTGGACTAAAATAATTTAAACCTATGCTTAAGCCCATTTCCACACCAAGGTGTGACATCCAATGGGGTACTTCAGAAGCCTATAATCTCTTTTCTAAAACGAATCAGACATATTTGCGTATGATACGATCAACCAATTTTCTAGAACTTGTCGCAGAAGAAATTTTGAGCATTAATTGTGTCTGGGGTAACTGATTGTGTTGTGCGTGAAGACTGACTACCTGTGATTATTTTAATAGCTCATTACAGTAATTGTGTTAGCTTAATATTTCTCTTAAGATAAGTAATTTGGTAGCTTTGTCAGTGGTTTAGTCGGTAGATTAATGGACTTTGAACCCAAGGCAGATGTTATGTTAGTTAAAGGTTTAATTATATTGAACTTTGTCTTTCTTTAAACAGATGATTACAAAAAATATGCTTCTATTCCAATTTGTAAATAAATAAAGATTTTTAGTGTTGCTTAAATGTTCACCAAGGAACATCAGTTTTTCATTTACAGATATAATAAATAATTTAAACTATTCATTTTGAACATTGGTGCCGAAACTTTTGCGAATCAACTAAATGTCGACTACTGGAGCATTTACAAGGTCCAAAGTCAAGAAGTCTGCTATAAAATCTCAGGATTTTGATGGTAAAAATAATGAGGCAGTAAGTGATAAGCATATTCCTTTGTCGGTAAGATCTCATAAAACTAGCTCAAGTAGGAGTAGGAATGAAAGTGTTTTAGAGGTTATGGACGAATTGATTAAGATACAGGAAGAAGAAACGTCCCTTGTTGTATCATGTGCTAAAGCAAAGGCGGCGGCGGAGAAAGCAGAGGCAGAGGCAGCAGTAAAAATAGCAGCAGCTGAAGCAGAGGCAGAGGCAGCAGTAAAAATAGCAGCAGCTGATGAAAGACTTGCCCGAGTGGAGGAAGAAGCCAAGCGGAAGGAAATAGAAATGAAGAAGAAGCTACTTGAAGACAGACTGTCATCGCTTAGCAGGGAATCGTCAAGAGTCAGTAGCAGATCATCTAGGACTTCAATTTCTTCTCTTCCACGACCGTTGCCCACAAAGGAAGCTGTTGAAAAGTGGATGCAGACAAAGGATCAAGCTGAAGACATTAATAAAAATAACGTTTTGAAGCCTTGTACTAATGTTCCAGTAAATATTATGAAGAGTGTACAGCAGGAGGTATCCTTGCCGCATCACGAAGTACAGTCTAGTTTCAAGCCTCGAGAAGAAAACTGTGAAAATCCTCGAGAAGCAAGGACTGTAGCTTTCAGCGAAGGAAGGAGAATTCCTCGAGATGTTTCGTGTTTCCCTCGAGATTGTCAACCTGATAAAATGATATTTAGAGAGAAGATGCCGGCGAGAATATTGTCAGCTCTACCTAATTTCAGCGGAGATCTAGACCAATGGCCCGCTTGGATAGCTGAATACAGGCGATCTACTGAAATTAATGACTACACTGATTTGGAGAATCTTCAAAGACTTCAGAAGTGTATTACTGGAAAAGCTAAAGAAATGATATCAGCACTGTTGATATATCCTGAGAACGTACCAGAAATTGTTAATTTGTTGGAACGGCGTTTCGGAAGACCAGATATAATTATTAAAAATCTCATAGCAAGCGTGAAAGGTCGACCACCAACTAAGGACTACAAGCCTGACACTTTGGTTGCTTTTAGTGACATGGTAAGGAACTTAGTAGTTACGGTAAAATCCTTGAAGCAGGACCACTACTTGTTTAACCCACAACTTATGGAAGAGCTCACAGAAAAACTGTCCACCAACATGAAGCTCAACTGGGGAATGTTTGTCACTTCACCACAGTCTCAATTGAAACAACCAATTGGCCTCGACAGCTTTTCGACGTGGCTCTCTTCTGTGGCAGATGCAGCAATTATATGTGCTCCCAGTACATCTACTAGTGGAAACTTTAAAAACATGTCATCAAGAAATGAATCAAACTCCAAGA